GGGCGAAACAACAACAACAACTGATTATTTGGTGGCCTTTCATAATCTTCATACTTGTTTCTAAACCAGGCTAACATCTGTCTAGACCAATTATCCTTCATAAAAGTTATGCATATTTTCCTTTCTAACCTCCCCCCATGCACACATTGATTATCATCTCTGAAGTTAAATTAGGGTGTGACTCCACAGCAAGGAAAATACGCTTTGATCTGCTGTGATTCATGCTGCAGTTTCTACAACCTCACATGCTGCCTTTAGGAGGTTTGTAAAAGCCAAACTCAAAGGGGAGGGATTTATCTTGGTTTATATAATCAAAAACAAGGTCCTGCTTGGGGGGAGGAAGTTGGCCTATATCCAGTTCCAATGATTTGGCCATGCATAGAATCAACTGGGAATATGATGTAAAGTCTTCAGAGGGAGGTGGGGGATGGATATCAGTGACATTCGAATCTGGTGTAGGTAAATTTGAGGGGGATTCCTTAGAAACCTCTGAAGGTGGGTCTTGCTCAAAGACCAATGAGATGGAAAAAGCCCTGGATCCTCTATTAAGAGACAGAGGTGGTGAAAGTGAACAAGGGTGAGATCTCGATATGGAGGTTGGGGCTCAGGAAATTGATGTGAAGGTCTCTGTGCCAGGTGAATAAGCGATTCTAGAAGATGCACCCTGGTGAGACTGAACGTGAGATGCTTTCGGATGGGATACCGAGGGTGACGGTATCGATGGAGCCCGAGAATGCTTTGCAGGGCATGATGGATGTGGATCCTGCTGTGGTAGATGGCGTTTATTAACAGGCTTTGAGTCCATAGGGTAGGGTTGGAGATAAGCTCGATGCCAACATCGAGGCAATGAAGGCGATGGAGATGAACCTGATGAGGAAGCATAGACATAATGTACCCTCTTGGGCCTGACGTAATTGTCGGTGTCATAAAAGGGATCAAGATCATCCCCACGGTACCAACGTTGACCGCCATGCCAATCAATTTCCATATAAAGTGGCTCTTCATAGTCAGTGAAAGTATGCCACTGAGATGAGTGTAGAAGAACTATAACCTCCCGATGCTGAGGGAGTTGTTGGCCTGGAGAAACATGCCAATGTTTTGTCAGATGCTTATGTGGAGGGGATTGTTGTGGTGAGACCTCTGAGTTTTGACAGTTGAATCACTGTTGCCCACCCGATTGACATAGGGCTCGAATGGGCTGAGGCCGGGCTGGAGATTACATCAGCCTCAGAATGGCCATGACTCGCTCAGAATCGATACCAAAGCCTGTGTCTGCGGCATAAAGCCATCCCCTTCAGAATGCGATTCAGGATCATGAAGCTCCCTGGAAGATTCCTTGAGTATCGGTGAGGGCAGGGTGACTCGAACTGGAGGAAGTTCCTTCAGCTGAACAGACTTAGAAGGCCATTTGGCCTTTTTATGTTTAACTACCTCCTCCTTTTTCTTGGGATCTTTAACAGATGGCAACTTTGATGTCGATGCCGACCCCAATGTTGAAGACCTCTTCAACTTGGACACCTTTGAAGATGCTCTCGAAGAAGGGGTAGCAGGTGCCAGTGAGGCAGCAGGATCTGGACGAGGAGTGGGAGGAGCAGGAGGCATGGTAGGTTCCATGAATGATGAGATCGACGGTGTTAACGACTTCTCCCAAAGATATGAGCAGAGCCCCTATAAGTGGAGCTTAAGGGCGGGTTTGGTTAATTTTTTACACTCCTGACAGGAGTTGGGCTGGTGTCTATCCCCCAAGCAGAATAAACAGCGGTCGTGGCCGCCCGTAAAAGGAATCTTGTTGGCACATGACGTACAGTGTTTCAACAGGCCTGAAGAGGCCATAAAATCTGGCGGGAACAGGGAAAAGAGGGGGAAAAGGAAAAAGAGGAAAGGACTCACGGGGAATGTTAACCACTGCAGTGCAGGATCAAGCCGAGAAGACAAAATACCAAAGTATCAAGACAAAGTCCGTAATCCAAAATGCAAGTGGTAACCAGTCCAAAGGTCAAACATGAGACATAACAATAGTAGCAAATCTGAAATGCAAGTATCGTAAATCAGGTCAGTCGAAGTCAAAATACACTGGAGATCAGAAAAACGTAGTCAAGAAAACAGACCGGGATCAAAACCAGAAAACTTGAAAGAATTGAAAACAGCTCTAGGTGTCGTGAAAGAATCCAATTGCAACAGCGGCAAAAAGGAACTGAGGTACCACGGGCAGGCGAGGCATGCGCAACACTGGGAAACGTTGTATTGGTCAGCTATTTTTGCTCTAGAATATTCCGAAAAGTCCTGCGCAGATGTAGTTTAACCCATTCATGTGCATTCACAGAGACCACGTAGAACTAAATGTTTCCTCCAGGAGTCCCTCAAAATAAGCCACTACATGCTCTAGCAGGTTATATTGGAGATGACCTAATAATTATCCATTCTGATGGGGTCCAAGGAAGGTACCTCCTTTTAAGTGCATTGGAATCCTGCCTTCCTGAAGTCCATCTGTAAGTAAGAAGAAGTAATTGCCTCTCCAAGGACCTTGTCCAAATCCTTAGGTTGTGAAAATGGAAAAACATCGCTAGATAAGAGGAGCCAGTTACAGCCTTTGAAACATCTGTTGTGGAATCCAAATCAGAACAGAGTTGAGCG